CCCACGGCTGAAAGGGCGAGCATGTTTGGTGGGATGTGGATTCGAACTCGCGACCCTCAGATTGCGAGTCGAGCACCTTATCCACTTGGCCATGCCGGGCCAACAAGTGAGTGATAAGACCATTAATCCTGTGGCCCCCCTGCACCATTTTTAAATTCCTTTCTGCATACATGTGATCCACACACTATGAAAAATGTCGACTTTAGCAGCAGTTCATAGTCAGCCACACAGCTTGCAACGTACATGATTATCTATCTACATGCTAAGTATGCATGTTTGACAAGTGATATCCAAAGTCTGTAGCTCTTTTCTCTGGGAAAGAGATATAAATTTTCCAACCCTTGACAGATGCAATGACCACCTTCTGTACTTCACCTTGAGATCTACGATGTACATGTAATTAGTTGACACAAGTGTATATAGTCATTAGAAAGAGCTCAGTTTAGAATATACTCCATCAATGGTTGATTTCAAACTGGTGTGCAGTTGTTCTTCCATTAGTATTGTTGTCTACTTGATTGACTATAGCACTTACGGTGGTTTCTTACCCAAATATGCTTTAGTTAGAGAGACAGTTAAATTGTATTTAGGTCTTACATTTATATTTTAGTTAATTATGTATTATTTGTGTTTTAAAAATCATATTTGAAAGGCTTAATGATTTTTATAAGTTTAACTTGTTGTTGCCTGGATTGTGAAAGTGTAAAAACAAGATTGTGTCATTCATGTGTGAACAGTGTTAGTGAAACGAGTCTCTGCATGGGAGTCGCCGTATAATAATAATAATACCCTGCAGGCACCAGTTGATGTATCAGCATGGATACTAAATGAAAAAGAATTGTAAAGGAAAATTTAAAATAAACTAAAAGCGAAAAGATAGAAGTATAATTACGCATATTAAAAAAAGTTTCAAAAGACTTCTACAAAGAGCTACACAGTATGTACATATTAACATTCCTTAATTTTAAACATTTCATTGCACTGTACATTGACGGTAATAGGTACAGTTAGTGATATAGTAGAGAAAATATAAAATAAAATATACACATTTACCTTTAAAAAATTATGATATTCATTTAGGAGGTTCTAGAGATTATGCAAATGAAATATGAAACTGTAAGATAATAAATAGTATTTTTATACTTTATATCAAAATCACCTTGCAGATGAACTATTCAGAATCCGAATGCGAATAAATACATTAAATAACAAATCTTTTTCTTAGAAATTGTAGAAAAAATAAAAATGAAATATTTTAATTTTTTGAAACCACATACTTTTAGGAACGTTCTTGTCAAATTTTAAACAATTTCATCCACTAGTTTTATTTTTGGAATGAAACATGATGAGAGCGACATTAGCTACAAGTAGAATTCATAGCCAGGTTAATTAGGGTTAATAACACATAGAATAAAATGTTTAGATTCATAATGTATTTTTTGCATGGTCTCAAAAGAAACACAAGTTTCAGGTATCGTATGCATAATCAAAATGCTGACATTATTATCAAAACTAAATAACAATTGAGTATACAGCAGAAAAAAACATTCAGTGATACTGTAACTTAATAGTTTATATGAAGAAAATTACCACATATGGCTTACTGACCAATAACAGCAGAAAACGTTTCTTTTATCTTTTAACTCATTGGCCAAAGGCAACCCTGGAAAGCTTCTAGATTACATTCAAAAGTGTGCAAAATAAAGATTATGTACTTTAACCTCCTTGATCCAGGTAGGTCCAAATGCACATCATGACCTATTACAGAGGTATATTCAAAATTTAATTCAACTACTTTATTATCAATTTATACAAATAAACTTGGCATCAAAATGTAGTTTATAATTCAAATCTTAATATCTTTTGTGTTTTAGTTTTTTAATTAAAAAATATTTAATTAAATTCTCAAATGTCACTGTGTGTATCACATGACACTTCTTTATTTTTGATTGTAAATTTCTATGGAATTTATTCCTTATACTATACATATCTCTGAGCTAAAATGTCAACTTGTAACAGCAAATAATAAAGTGGAGGCCATGCCCCTTGTAGAATATACAGCTTTCAAAAATTATCATAAATTCTCTCTGCCATTTGCTATGGCCTCAAGCTCTTCCAATAAAAATATTTCAACATTTTAGCTTTGTTGTCTACTGTTGGAGCTCTGCTTGATTAGGTATAGCATTTCTACATTAGCTAGAAAACCAAATAAATTATATTAGTTTTTAACACTTACTATTTTTATGCATGGCAATAGTTCATTTTTAAATTGCATATCTGAATTAAAAAAAAAAACTTCTGAGACCATACTACTGTTTCTAGGAATTAGGCCTAATGTTTGATGTAGACTTCTATTGTATGAATACAAGAGCTTGAAAAAGACAAGATTTCAGACACGAGTACTACATTTCTTACTTTTTATGTATATTTTTTTATTGCTATAAAAATAACTAAAATGTAAAAATTAAAAACTTATTAGGTTAGATAAAGAATTCTAAGTTAACTTAACTAAATAAAATACTTATGATCAATAATAGCACATTCTAAGTGTTAGAGCAGTTGTGTAATTCAACACAAACATGTTGGTAGCTAGATCCATTGTTTACAATAAATAAAACTAAATGAAAAATCAATTAATTTTGGCTGTAAAAATACACAGTGTGTAATTGTCTGTTGAAATGTGTAGTCATTCAAAAAAGGGGTAATGTACGTTTTGTAATATTCTTTTGTGATGGCTACAAGGTCAGTCAAATCAACTGAGTTTGTGTACAGTATTATGGTAGAGAAAATAACATGAAAAATATAAAGTTCTACTGAAAAAACTTTTGATATTCATTTAGGAGGTTCTAAAGGTTATGAATGAAATTTGAAAATGTAATGTGAAGAAAAACTATTTTTAATCCTATGATAAAAATTACATTCAGACTAAAAGCTTACCTTATTTTATGCAGGTACATTAACTACATTTATAGTTATAGTATGTATAGTTTCACAGTTACATGATTGTGCAAAATATACAAGCCCATCTCCATATGGTTAAAATGGAGCAAAATAATTCAAATTCAGCGTTTTCCTAAACTGAAAATGTATTTCCGATAGATACTAACCTCTTCTCACAAAATAGTTTTTATCAACTAGCACTGCTTTCTATCAGTGCAAATTTTCAATGCATGCCACTAGCCTTCCACTTCTACAAATCCACATGCAAATGATCATACAGCAGCTCTCCACCATAGAAGAGTGATACAACTCCTATCATAACCAGCGCCCTCTTCACATCTGCAGTTGTTAATTACTTCAAGATTGGTCAGAAGACCTACACCATATATCATCGAATGTGAGAAGAGGTAAGTATCTATTGGAAGTGCATCTTCAGTGTAGGAAAGTGCTAACTTCTGATACCTCCAATCACAAAATAGCTAGAATCCCACACTGAACTTGTGGAGGGTCAATAAAAAAAGATCTCCCTTTAGGAAGCACCCAATGGTGTGGAACCAAAAGCGAAAATGTCACATCTTAGCCGGAGACCGCACCACATCTGATCCACATATCTTCACTCTTTCCTGACAGTGTCTTGACCATAAATGGTGGAAAAACATGAAAGAATCCAAGAATATGTATGACCAATGAATGGGACTCCTGGATGTTGAGTGGCTAGGGTGCAACAGACTGCAGTGGTAGTTTAACTTCATCCAACAGTAGGTGGTATCTGGATGGTACATCAGACCCATGGTAGGTAGAGTATCACTTACCTCTTTACCTTGAAATTGGAATTGGTAGGGAAGATGAGATTCCGTACCAAAATCCATCTCCACTTGCACACATTTCCAACACAACTAACACCAGATCTGCCGGGAACTGACATTCAGCAGATGGTAGGAAGGTGGAAAGCCCAAGCGGGATGACATCTCTGGTCCAAAACCTGATGGCAATGGGTATAGTACTTCCAGTCTGCAGGAGGAGGAGGATATCTGGCCATACATAAATGGGAAAACATTCTGCATCCAGCTACAACCAACTCCATATCACCAGGAACCAACATCCAGCAGATGATAGAAAGAGGGACCACAAACCTGGGGTGCATCTCCAGTCCAAAACCTGGCAGCAGTGGGCATTTGTCATCCAGTCCACAGTAGGAGGAGGGATACTAGCTAGCACACATAAGGACTTACTTAGCTGGACCATCTCCAATCAACACCAAACTCACTGGGAACATATATTCGGAGGATGGTAGGAAGGAGGAACACCACTGTAGTAAAAAACAATCAGTCAGATATATAGACAGGAATATGGGGTAGTGCTACAACCAAAACCTAGCAGCACCTGTAATTGAACATCAGGTCCATGGTAGGAAATGCTATACATCAGCAACATCTGCAGAATGCCCCTGCCCTACTCTCAACTGAGTGATATGATTCATCACTGAGGAGGACAGGCCTCCATGGTCCACCATCCCAGCTGCTAGAAACTGAAAAGTGGTAAGGACTCCCATACTCCACTAGAAAAAAGGTGGGAAAAAATATGTTGGAGAATCTGGAGGACTGCACCACTAGATACATTACAATGGGTGACTGCGATACCCTATTTTGAAAAGCAGAGCTACATGTTGACGGAGTCAATCAACCAAAAACCTGGTGGCACTTGGAATTGTAGATCAGGTCTGCAGTAGGAAGAGTCTCAATGCCAAGGAACATCAGAGATGGGCAGCAATCTCTGTCTGCTTTACTCATGTTAGTCCATGAGTTTATGGTCTGGGACAAACATATCTATGAAGCAAAAAAACAATAGAGAGAACTACTAGCAGTCCTACGGAACACCCCATCTATACAGTGTGCATAACCCAAACCTGCAACGTAATTATTTAGTTACAGATAATAATAAAATGGAGACACACAACTAACACCTGGCTGCATCTGGAATTGTACATCAGGTCCGTGGTAGGAAGGACTATAACTTAATTGACATCGAGTATAATTGCAGGATGATAGTGTGGATTTTCAAAAAACCAAGTATAACTGGTCAGGCACCACTTCTACAATACTCTAACAAAAAAGCCCATGAAAAAGTAAGAAAAGTTCGAAAAAAAAGCAACTTTTCATAATGACAAAACACGAAAATTTAAATAAATAATAAAGAAAATCTAAGTCAGTAGTATAACAAAAAAAACATCAACAAAAACCAGCACATCTGTACAGTACTACTGCTAATGAAAAGTGATTAACAAGTGCAGATGTGAAGAGAGTGCTGGTTATGATAGGAGTGGTGTCATGCTCCTACTGATGGAGAGGTTCTGCATGATCATTTGCATGTGGATATGCAAAAGTGAGAGGTGGAAGGCTAGTGGCATGCATTGAAAATTTGTGCCAATAGAGGGCAGTGCCAGTCTAGAAAAGCTATTTTGTGAAAAGAGGTAAGATATAGTATCGGAAGTCAACATTATATTTTACACAAAAACTTGTATATCTATATGCTATTTATATCATTTTAAAATTCTTCTGAGCTTTATTTTGAGATGTAATTCAGTTTTATTTTCTTTGAATAGCTAATATAATGTGGTATTTGATTATTTGTGCTCTCTGTTATTGATCATTTCATTAAATAAATCCTTTAGACAAAAAAACAAAAAATGGGATTTTCAGATTATTTTTTAACATTAAAAGACATAAACATTACTTTCAAGACTTTTTCAAAGTGAATGTTAAGATATATAAAAAACTTCAGTCTTATTTCTCAACAAGTAGTTAGATTTAAGTACACCTTGTAAGTCTTATGTTTTTTGTTGCATGTTGAGAATTATACTTACTCTGTGAGCCATCTCCCACTTTCCAGCATTGTTATACATTTCTACTGCTTCTTTCATCATTCCAGCTTCAACAAAGAAATGTTCAGCAACCTAAGAATAACATAGATTCATACTGTCATAATATCTTTGAAAATAAAATATAAAACCCAAATGAATCAATAGGTTTTTTGCAAAGTGTAAGAAATGTTGGCTATTGGCAGAAAAAGTGACAAACTGAAATATGTGAATATTATCATAAAATAGCAAAAGTGCATTAATTATATGTTACAAAACTTCTAATTCATTAAAAAAAAAACAGAAGTCTGCAGATTTGTAGCTACGTTGGTTTGAGTGATGGGTGGTAAAAACCAGTTTAACCCATAGATGTACATGCCTGCGACTGCCACCATTGTATTTCCCACGGCCAGGCAAAAAAAAAAGTTTTTATTTTCATGTTTATAACTTTAACGTGTTATAATTTTAATGATTTTGCAAATTTCTTTGGAAAGTCTAATAAAATACTCCACATGAGCAGTCACTAGGCAAACACGTGTTAAACGGTGAACGATGAGTCTAAAAATATAAAGGTGGAGATAAATGTTACTCTAGGCTGAGTTTTATTTTTCTGATTGATCTATCTTTAACAGCAGGTAATTGATACAAATTAGTCACAATGAGATTTAAAATGTTTTTATGCAAGAAACACATAAATATACTTTTATGATTTAGATATCTTTAAAATTTTGAAAATATTTTTACACTCCACATAAACTTTTACTGGATAGAAAACAGGGTTTGCATGGTTTCCACTGTGGATTATATTGTCTGATGTGCCAAGTTAAGTGCAAGTGGGCTGTTTGTTCAGTTTCAAGTGGAGGTTTTTTTCCTATGGACTTTTCCTGAAAAGTATTTAGCACATAGGTTATCTGCTTTGTGACTTTTCAGGAAAAGTGTTTGTTTGTAACAAGCTAATTGCAAAGAAAACTGTACTGCAACATCGCCAAAGAAATTTTTCATGTTTATGGTGAACTTTTTCTCAGTGATATTTAGTGCAGGGCGGCAGTAGTCACATTACATAGGAGTGCTGGGGGTGCAGAATGAGTACTGGGTGGCCCCACCCCCCCAGTAGCTATAGCCCTGGAAGGCTGTCACTATAATGGCTTTTAAAATATATAAAATTCATATTGTTGGCTTTTGAGTCCTTACAGTTGCTAAGAAAACTAAACAGTATGTAAATAGTTAATGTTATTTTATTGGACACATTTAAATTAAAAAACTCTTTTCAAAGGATTTTGGGATAGAATGAGAAGCAAAGAAATATTTTTTAGTCATTCTTTTAAAGTGAATTTAGGCAATGCATTCAACATTTGGAATAAACTTTCTATGGAACTCTCCTACTATTATTCTGGATTTTGAGATGATGTTTAGGGCATATTACCCAAAACATCATCTCAAAATCAGGAAAAATGACAGAAGTCCATAGAAAAACTCAGTCCACATTTTTATCTCTGTTTCTTACATGGCACATTTTTCTATATGGGTGATAGGTTCAAGTAAATACAAAGTAAAAATAATAATATATTTGTAAGGAACAAATCAAGCTTGGCAGTCTTGATTTCTGTGAAATAGTTTATTAAAACTAAGTAAAAGTAAAAATTTAAAATATCTTTTTTTTTTATAGTAAGAGAAAATCAGTTATAAGAGACAGCCTTAAGTTATTATGTTACATATATACACGAGATGTATTGGAAAGAAAATGGGTTAAGAAAGAGAAGCTTAAAACAGTTTTATTTTACACCACATATACAAAATGTTATTTGCAAACAATTTTTGAAAATCCTGCCTCATTTGCTACCTTAATTAACTGTTTGTAGTCTGTCAGCATATGATTAGGTTTTAACTCTAGAATTACCAATGGGGTCCACTGAGTTTTTAAAACATATTTTTTGTAAAGTATTTATGCAACAAACTGTTAATAGACCCATGACTTTTTTAATTACAGAGTTCCTATCTACTAATTGTTGCTGGAGTTTCTTATGTTTGTTATTTTTAGAATTTTCATGCACAAGAGCTGTCTATACACAACTATCCCTAATTTTAAGCTAACAGACTAGAAAGAACTAGTCAACAGCACCTATCATGACCAACTTTTGATGTTTTCTTATATGATCAAATAGGGAGATGTGAATGTCACTCTTATGGTGCACTCACAGCCTCAAAGTAGTGAGTTATTGCTGCCAAAGAACACAATCTATTAATTAACCCTAGATTCAACAGGCCTCTAGGCCGTACTTGGCTCCTATCCAGATGCAGAATAATTTTTTGGTTCAAAATTAATACAGTGATATCTTTTTCCCAATCTTAATCTATAAACTTTATGCCAGTGTAATTTAGTTAAAGGTTAATTACTATATGTAATGGCAATTGCTTATAAACAGCATAATTACATGGTTTACAATTTTTCTGTTAAATGAATAGATTATACAGAAGTTTCTAATGGAGAGACCAAAGAAATACTGCTGTTAGGTTATCCAATACATCTAGTGTTCACACATTTAATGTTTTAAAATGTTTCTTTGTAATCTGTTTAATCTCACATCAAAATTTTGTTTTTAATTTAAATTTCATGTTCTTTCTTCAGAGACTATAAGCATTTTAAACAATTTACGAGGCACAATAAAAACTAATTCCATAAGATACTAAAACATTAAGAAATCATATAGTGATTTTTACAAATGCCATTACTCCAGAAAATATCGTTTATAATTTAAAAACAGAATTCACAGAGTGGTAGAAACACCTTTAAAATTCATAAATCAGGTTGAGAGTAATTGTACCTCATATTCCCCAGTTGAAGCAAAGTGCTGTGCTAGTTTGTGATAATATCCAGCTACTGCAGAAGGATCATCTATAACTTCAATAATCTGCACTGCTTTCTTCCATTGTCGAGCACTGACTGCTGCATCTAAAGCTTTCACGGTTTTTCTGAAAAAAGGAGTTTTAAAAAAATAAACTAGAATATCTGCTAAAATGAACATTTTCAAGATATGAACAAATAAACAAAGTCTGAAGAAATGTTTTAAATGTTTAGAAGATATACTACATAAGCAAAAAACTGAAAAATGTAAAACTAAAAAAAAATTTTACTTCATAAAAACAAAATGTGCACGCAGTCTTTAAAATCACAGCATTTCTCTATAATACAATAATTGTATAAAAAGATAATATGATTTCATTTTCTTACCCAGCTTCAATGTAATGGTTAATGGCAGCATCCAACTGTTTCATACTAACTAAATGGTCTCCCCATTCTTCTTCCAAACTGACCACATCGGCAGGTGAAGCTAATCGTGCAAGTTCTACAGCTGTGTGAGTAAAAATAAAAACTGAATTCAAGTGAGAAAAAGGAAGTCTATTATTTTCACTTCACTCTACTAAATAAGCATGTACAAAAAATTAATAAATATGAAACAAAATAGAATAAAAATACTGAGATATACACGGAAGTGATGAATAAATGTTATTAAATAATGAAGATACAAATAGTATCACAAAAGAGCAATATATGATGTTTTATATATGTAAAGCATTTTTCTACCTGTTTTATAAATGGGTGACAAAAGAACTTCAGGCCTAACTTCATACACCTTGATGCAGTGTTGTTTTGTATGATTTTGTCAGTATTACTTAAATGTAAAGAAAATGATTAAATACACATTGTCATGTCTTCAATGATCTTTGTTTAACAGCTTTAAGGATAAACAGATTCATGTAAAGTATTCTTACCATAGACACTTATGTAGATTCAACAATTTTTGCTACTTCTACATGGTAAGACAAGAGTTCAAAAGCAGAGATAATATGTAGCCAGCAAACACCCAAATTAAGATAAATGAAAATATCTTCTTTAACCTTGAAGGACAGTGAGGTTTCACTCTTCTAAATACATTTCTGATTTGTAATTAATGGTTATTTATGGAAGAAATACTAAAATTCTACACCCAACACAACAGTTTGCTGTAGTTTTACAACTGTTTTTACTTTCAGTTTCACTATGACTAGGCAGATTACAATTCATACACAAATATAGACAATATTATAACAGTGGCTAATTCACAAAACTGTACAAAAACTCTTTTAACTTTAGCAATTTTAATCTTTTATCCAATTCCTATTTACCTTGAATTATGAAAGACTCTAATTAGATAAATTGTACATTTCAACCCTTTGGATGCTATAATTCGATTTATCCAACTTGACATTTATAGCCATTTGGTGTGACAAGCAGATTTATCCCATGGTGTGACAAAAACTTTACCCCATAGTGCAAAAAGCGGGATATTCACATGTCCTTGAATTTCCCGCCTTAGTTCTGCACATGTGTACATTACTGAGCCAAAATGTAACTAGGTGATTTTAATATTGAAAAAGTACTAAAAAAGGTCAAATTTTAAATTTCATTTGTCAATGGATAACTGACATTTTTTGAGAACCCACTCAAAATTTAATTATGCATTCAAAGGGTTAAAAGATTACTCTTTCTTATGTTTTCTATAACATTCATTGTCTTGAGCTTGTAACATAGAAATATCAAAAGTCATTTATATTACAAAAAATAGTATACCTTTTAAAACTTATTAAAAAAACTTCCAAAATAGCATTACTACTTGTTACTACAAAACATGTATTCATATTATGCAATGTGCCACTGTTTTATGAGTCTCTTTAGATTTTTTTCCTATCTTCTTTCATATTAAGCTTTTTTCTAACTACAAATCAATATTTCTTTACTTTCCATTACAAATAAAGAAAATGAAGTTTTGTTAAGGGTTGTGTCTAAAGAATTATTTTACGTAATGGTATACAATTTCCACTTTGTGTGTTTTTCCATTAGTGTATGTATATATGAGATTGTCTGTGCTACTAAACAACAAGTACCATTTCAGAGTGTTAAAAAACTAGAAGTGGAAAGTTAATTTGTTACTCAATAAAATCAGTAAATCAATAATTTAAACAAAAATCTTATGTTTTCTTAATAGTTATTAAATAATATACACATGTATATATACAATTATTATCTAGACCCATCAAAAAGTATTTTGGTTCAGTTTTTCGTTCATTATGATAAGCTGTTTTTGAAATTACAGACTAGACTAAAAGTAACTTGATTTCTTTTTAAAGTGTTTCAGTTTTTTTCAAGAACTTATTCATGCAGAGTACAAATGAACTATATGGAAAAGTTACTTTCTGACCCATTTTTAATGTTACCTCGACTGAAAGCTTTTCCTCGTCGATAAGACTCCATTGCTTTTTCATAGTTATTGATCTTTTCAAACAGTTCACCTGCTTGTTCAAAAAACTCTCCCTTTAATAAAGCAGCAGAAATTTTTTGCACAAGTTCAGAGTTGCCAGCAAGAGCAGGAACTACGGCTACAAGTCTTGCTCCCTTAGCAGGAAGTCCAGCCTTCAAGTAAAGTCCAATTGCTCCTTGATAGTCTCCATCTTTTTCTTTTAGCTAAAACCAAAAACTTCACATTCATGAATCTATACATCTGTGTAGCTTAAAAATAGCTTGTCTATTTGATAAGATATTTACTTATATGTAAAGTTTTAAACTTTTTAAAAATAATATTGTCATTTAAATTAATGTTGTGTATCAGAGCCATATTCCAGTATGCTATAGTGGAATGCTATGCAAACAGGGTCAGTTTCTATAGAAATAAACAATATATCATGAAATAGATTGTTTGATGCATCAATCGTAAAAATTGCAGCACTAGTTAGCCAGATAGCAGGTAATGAAGATACAGGACAACATCAGTATTAGCTGCAGGTATTGTTACTTCTAACATGCCTGTCATTACTGATGAAGTAGATAGTTGTTCATTGTAAAGAATGGCTGTCACACTTGGGACACCACGAAAAGCTAACTTCCAAGACCTTTAGCCTTTATTTACAAATACTATGACCATGTGCTGTGCTGAACTTGACCCATTTTATTATCTCACTACAGGCTAGGTCCCAGGGACCAACCTCTTAACTATTTTGTGCTTGTTCTAGGTTTCATGCTATAACGTTTAATGTTATCTTCACAAGATTTGGCAGACTTTTTGAAAATATTAGAAGTCTTTTGTATACATAAATAAGATTTTTGAATGAAGTACTTTTTACTAAATATTTGTTCGTGAATATATATATATATATATATTTATATAGTGTTTCCGTACAATAGTCTGAGTGCTAAGTGATTTCCATATGAAAATTAAAAATACTTTTTTTCATCTCAAATCTTATTTGTGTCATCTCTTAAAAACTCCTAAGTAAATTTCAAACATTTTTTTTCAGTAAAACTTTATATTTTATCTACCCTAACTTTATGCAAGGTTGGTCAATTTGACTGACCTTGTAACCACCAAAAAAAATCTAAATAAATCTAAATTACCCTTTTTTTTCTAGAGTGACTTCAAATTATGATACGAAACAACATTTGCTTATCGCTTTACACTCATAACAGTATACACCTATTTACTGCCCTTTGAACCATGACTAATTATTCATCACATATTTTAAATCATTTGGCAAATGTGTTATCGAATTATGTTATGCATGAGCTACTCACGAGCATACCTCATGAAATTTTTTTATCCAATTATTATTTTATTTCACCTACACTAACTCTAACATAAAGTTTACTATTTTACATTTTAGTTAATTTTGTAATAATAAATAAAGAATGCAAATTAAAAACAAGAAAAAAAATACTTACCTGGTTCTTTTATTTTGCTGTCAACTGTCGATGACATTTAACCCTACCTTTATTATTCTAAAGGGAGTACTACACTAAATAATTTTTTATTTCATTTAATAATGCACCAAATGCGTCGGAAGTGCTATGCGACAATAAAATCAGCACAAAGGTGAAAGGATAGGTCTATAAAACCGTTGTGAGACCTGTGATGATGTACAGAGTGGAAGCCTGGCCCATCAAAAAGACTCAAGAGAAGAAATTAGAGG